CCCGTCATTCCCCAGCCCGTCCTCGTTCTCTCTTTCGTGTTGTAGTGAGACACCCGCACCGGAGGTGTCGCCCTCAGCACTTTCACGGCGCCGTCCCTGCCGGCGCTCCCCGCCCGCGCTGTGCCTGCCCCCGGCGCGCGCTCTGTCCGCGCGGCCGAGCTCCGTGGGGTGAGGGGCTCTCGGGTCGCGGCGAGCGGGTCCTGCCCCTCTGAGGCGGCGCGGCTGCTGGTTTTGAGGGCTGGGGAGAGGGAGATCGGAAGTGAAAGCCCCCCAAAGCCTGCTGCTGAGATTCAGGGTAAACCCTCCTTGGCTCGGGGCAGGCCTTTGGTTAAGTTTCACAATTCTCAGAAAGTGGAAATTAACCGATTCTCAGAGAGTGGAAAATTCGGACCGTGTTCCCCGGGGTCCGTATCGGGCCTGGGGGAGGGGCGGTTCGCGGACGAGCGCGCCGTCGTCCAGAGGCGCCAACAGGGCTGCCCGCGGTCCCCGCCGCTCGGTGCCCCCTCGCTCGGGCCAAGGAGAGGTGCCTTGTTCCCTGAGGAAGAACTCCGTCGGTGACCTAGGTGGCTCAGCAGCCCCTGACTTCCGTGACAGCCGGTACGGGTCACTCCGAGGGCTTGTCGCAGCCTCCCCCCCGAACTATGACAAGAAACGGGGGGAGTAGGAAGCGGGGAGGGGGAGAATCCTTCTCGTCTAAGTGTATCATAGTGACTGTGTTATCAGTACTTGTTTAATGCTGTTAAAGGAAATGTGAATGAATTACATTTGGAGCCGATGGAGTCCTTTTGCTAATTGGCCTCCTTACATCGTGTTGGAGATCTTTTTTTTACACATTAAGAGGTACTTTTTTATTCTGCCTTTTAATATTCTGCTGTGGAGAAAATAGTTGGGTTCAGCCATGAAATCCAGTCATTATCACGTTATTATCACAATAGTAACGAGGGGCAGTGTGTTTGCCTGCAGGCTCTGAGGGATGGTGCTTCTGCGAGGCTCCCAGGAACAAGCTTTTGAAAGGACGCTTGATTCTTTGCCGGTTCTCAAAAGGGTGGGTGGGTTCCCTGGCCTCTCTCACAAAGTGGAAGGTAAATTCCTGCTTGTCATAAACAACCGTGTTTACTTACGCGCGCCGTACATGCCGCGGCCGCACAGCTGCGATCCCTGCTGATGGCGCAACACACAGGTCATCCCGTCTGTGGCTGCCGGGAGAGATTCAGGCCTGTCCTTTGTCCTTTTGCTGTGACCCTCGTGCTCCTCAGGTGACTCGGGCGTCGGCACCTCCCAGCCCTGCAGGACGCCTGCTCCTGAGGTCACCGTTTGGAGACGAGGACACAGCGCGGATCACAAGCACCAGGAAGCAGCTGAGATGAGGGAACAGAGAGATGTGTCCTAAGTGAAAGAACAGGACAAAATTCCAGGAAAAGAAATAAATGAAATGGAGGCAAGCAGTCTACGAAACGCAGGGCACAAAACGCTGGTTACAAGGAGGCTCATGAACTCACGGGAAGAACAGGCGAACTCAGTGAGAGCCGTTACGAAGAGATGAGGACCCTGGGAAAGAGCCAGTCCGGGTGGCGAATGGCGCGGCTGCCGTGAAGGGCGCACGGAGCCCGCGGGCGAGTCGGCGCAGCGGAGGGCCGAGCCAGCGGTTTAGACGGTAAGCCGAAGGAGGAAGAATTTTAATTAGTTTTTTATTTTAATTTTAATTTTTTACTGTTCACATACATTTGTTCCCATTTACCCGCCACCACGTTCCCCCGCCCCAGTCATTCCCCGAGAGAAGAATTTTTAAAAATGAGGAAAGTTCAAGGGACCTCTGGACAACCTCGAAGTCTGCATCGTAGGGCCCCACTGGGCGAAGAGAGAGAGACCAAGGACCCAGGACCTACTTGAAGAAGTAATGGCCACAAACCGTCCTAACGCGGCGAAAGAACCACACACACAAGTGTGGGAAGCACAGAGAGTCCCCAAAAAGATGGACCCAGCAGGCACACGCCAAGCACATCCTGATGAAAACGCCAAAGATTAAAGACAAAGAGAATCTTAAAAGTGGCAAGTTAAAGGCAGCTACTGACATGGGAGTGCCGGAGGGCCCACAACACTGTCTGCTGATTTCTCAACAGACACTTTGCAGCCAGAGGGGATTGTCATGAAATATTCAAAGTGAAAGAAAGTAAGGACCTGCGATCAAGATGACTCCACCCACAAAGCTGTATTTCAGAATCGACGCGCAGATGCCGAGCTTCCCAGACGAGGAGACGCTCCAGGAGTTCACCGCCAGCAAATCGGTATTGCTAGGGATGTTAAAGGGACTTGTTTAAGAGGAAGAGGAAGAAAAGATGAAAAATACAAATAATAAAATGGCGGTGACTACATACCTGTCAACAGTGTCTGCAAATGTAAATGGACTAAATGCGCAAATGAAGAGGCCGGGGTAGCTGAGGGGTCAGAAGACCGGGCCCTCCCACGTGCCGCCCGCAGGAGACCCAGCTCAGGGCGGGAGACGCAGAGCCTGAGAGTGAAGGGAAGGTTGGCAACACTTGCATCACATGCAACAGACTTGGTGAAACAAAGACTCTAACAAGATAAAGAACATTGAATACACAGTAACCAAGATATGGACAGGACCTGAGTGTCGCGCTGATGGATGAATGAATGAAGAAGACGTGGTCCAGAGACACAGCGACATGACCGAGAGCTACGGACGCCTCACAGGGACGCAAAGTCCGGCGTCGGGCGCGAGGCCGGTGACAGGGCCACGCCTGGTGCCCGGTGGGCACGGGAGGCGCTGGGGGACCCCTTGTAGGGTGTGGGATTGGGCAACCACTACGCCCACTCCTGAAACCAGGGTAACACTGTTACCTGACACTGGAAAATAAAAAAATGAAAGACTGGTTACGATGGTAAATTTTGTGTTACATGTATTTTGCCACAATTACAAAATTGGAAAAAACGTTCTCCACATACCACGTTTTACACCTCTGTTTTCAAACTTTGTAGCTCGTCTGACACAGCCGGCCTCACAGCCAAACGCAGGTCTGACCTGCTTCTGTCAGGAAAAAAATCTGAATTTGTTTTCGTTTCAAATCATTATATTGTATGCCTGAAACTAATATAACCAATATAAGTTTGTATGACGACTATATTTAAACTTTAAAAAAATTAAAAATTAACATGTTAAGACCTATTTTGAGGAAAATTATTAAAGGAACGGAGAAATGAATCGAGATGCACCTTAGATCCTGGGCCCAGTGCCGTGTGCCGGGGACGCTGCGGGGGGCGTCTGTGAGGCCCGCGGTTTCCGCTCAGGGGGCTGCAGGGCGGGGCACAAGCCGGGCAGGCGGGGAGCGGGCAGGGCCCGCGTCGCGTTCGGCTCGGGGGACAGTCAGCTGCAGGTCAAACTCAGAGGTCAGAAATGCCCTTACAAGTTTCATTCGACAGGACGAACATCTTTTTATACATTTAGTGAGAAAAAGGCATATACAGATGACAAAGTAACTGCTCAGGATGTTGGCAAGTATCAGGCAGCTGACCCGGGAAAGACGCCAGGTGACCCCGATAGGCGTGCGCTGTGGTGGGGACCCCAGATGGGGACCAAGTCCCGTCCCACGGACGTCGCAGGCGAGATGCCTTCTGTCCTGAAAACCTCGGGAGCCGCTCAGCGGGCAGCCAGCTGTGCGCGGAGTTAACACCGAGAAGACAGGCAGTGCTTCTCCTTCGGTGGGCGCCGGGCTCGCTCCCCGGCCGCCCTCCCCGGCCGGCCCTGCGGAGTCTGAGCCTTTCTTCCCCAGCCTGGCCGTGGGAGGAGGCTTTTCCCAAACCTGGGTTCTGTGTTGTTCCACTGCCGTGGGCCTTGAAGATTTTTCATTCCCGGGGCAGTGCCGGGAGGGTGAGGAGCTCATTTTCCTTTGCTTTTTAAAAGGGAAATGCCTCCGGAGACTGGTTCTCCCAGTGACTCCGACAGCGATTTCCTTACAACCAGGGGCTTTATGCGTGGGGTCCCCAGGCCAACAGCATCAGCTTGTCCTGGGACCTCGTGAGAAACGCAGATTCTTGCGCTGGGCCCCAGTGGCAGAGCTGGGGGCTGTCCAGCTGCCTGGTGCCGACCTGCATGGTTTGAGCGGGTTTGCCTTGACGTAAAGACCAGAGGATGCAGCGGCTGGTTTTGTGTAAACATTAGGCATCTCACTTTTGTGTATTTTGGAACCACTATAATTACTTTGCAGTTCTGTTGAAGAGCACAGATTCTGTCTGCTTGTTGCCAAGTGAGGGAAACAGCCAGAACCTCAGTCCAAACAAACAGAGGCGGCGGCGCTGGGCCCTGGACAGGTCACCCGGTGGGAGGTGACCTGGGGTCCTCCGCTGGCGGCAGCGCCGCGGCCTCTGAGCCGGGGCCCGGGCGGCTGGGAAGGAGGGGCCGGGGCGACCCCCGAGCAGGCAGGGCGAGGAGCATGTTTTTGGAAGAGGGATCTGCTCCGTCTCCCTGGCCGGCCCCAGAACCTGCGGTCTCTCCCTGCGATGTGTGGGCACCCTCTTCCCAGATTCCTTCTTTCCTTTGCCTCCCCTTCTGACCCTTTTGAAGGGCCTCTGTTCTTTATAAAATGCAAATTATATCAGGTCACTTCCTTGCTTGAAATTAAAATTGTTCCAGGACTTCCCGTGCCTGTAGGAAAAGGTCCAGAAGTTTCAGCTGCACCCCGGCCCCTCACGTACCTGAGGTGCCTCAGGGCTGTGCAGACGGCTGGGCCTGAGGGCAGGTGAGGGATGAACTCCTGTTCCATCCCACCTGCCGTCCTCACAATCCACCTTGATGTTGCTGCGCCCCGGCAGCCCGAGCGACGGCGGCCGCCCTGTGCTCGGTCACAGGGAGCGGTCCCCTCTGCGCTCCACAGGCCCCACGGGCGGTCCCAGTCACCGCTCTGCCCCAGGCTCAGCAGACACTTGTCCTTGATGTTCGGTGCCCTTTCCCTGCTGTTCACTGACGCCCGTGTCTTGCGTTGTAGTTCGGGGCCGAGTTCCGAAGGTTCTCCTTAGACCGTCAGAAGCCCGGGAAGTTTGAGGACTTCTACCAGCGGGTCGTGCACACCCACCACATCGCCAACACCGAGGTGACCATCGGCTACGCAGACGTGCACGGCGACCTGCTGCCCATCAACAACGATGACAACTTCTGCAAGGCCGTGTCGAGCGCGAACCCCCTGCTCAGGGTCTTCATCCAGAAACGAGGTACTGGGGGCCCGGCTGCCGCTCGGGCCGGGCGCGTGGGTCAGGGGCACACGCCCCCCGTCTGTCTGTGTATCTGTCCATCCAGAACCGCGGGAGGAAAGCAGGTTTTCTCGCCAGCGGCAAGAGACGAAAGGAACGAGCATTTGCTCGGTCAACGTGACTGTATGAGAGAGGCTGAAAAATATTTCAGTGGCATTTTCCACTTTAGATGGTGCTGATGTCTGATTGTTAAATGCTGAGGAGAAAAATACTATCGATACTTTCAGTTTTTTAACTGAAGTGAGTTAATTCTGTAGTGAAAAGGCCGCAGTTAGCAGCCCGAGCAGGAAGCCAGCAGCGTCCCGCTGTGACCGGGCCCGGAGAAGGGCACTCACATCCCGCTGTGCCTTTGGCCCGTCAGCCCCACGGGCCGAGCGGCACTGTGACAACGTCACGGTCTCCTGAGAAGTGAGCGGCTGGCGTGGGCCAGTGACGGGGGGCGGGGCCTCGCGTGCTCACCCCTCGAGCCGCGCTCCAGGCTTGTCTCCTCTTCGCTGAGTTTGGGAGAACCTTAGCATTTCAAAGGAATGTGCCGTTCACCCTTGAACCACGTGGGGTCAGGGACGCCGAACCCTGCGCACGTGAACGTCGCCTGTGACGTTTGACTCCCAGGGCGTAGCTGCCCCTGGGCGTGCACGGGTGATCGGCTCTGGGACCCCGCGGGGGCCGGGATCCAGGGTGCTCGGCCCCTCCGGAACAGCCTGGGCCAGTGCACAGAGGCAGCCCACCCCTGCTGCCCCCTGCTGCTCAGAAGCAGCGGGCGTCGCTGGGAGGACGCCTGAGGGTGGCAGGACCCACGTGGGACGCGCCTGCGTCGTTCAGGGTCTGCGGTGCTGATGGGCGGCGCCGCCAGTTGGGCGCGGCCCCTGAGTCCTGCAGGTGGCATCCGGTGGCTGACCTGGGCACGACAGCCCCTCCTTCCCCGCGCGACCTTCTGTCGCAGGTGAGCGCCGCGCCGCGGGGAGCCGTGGCCGTGGGGCCACTCGCAGCTCACGCGGGAGCCACTGTGACCGAGGGTTTGGCAGGAGGAGAATGGTCCATGTCTCCGGGAGGCGGGCGGCTCCTGGGGCAGAGCCTGAGCACTGGCTAAAAGCAGCAGCCACCGTGTCCTGGGCAGAGGCTGCTGGGCCTGTGCCGGGCGCCTCTCTGTCGCAGGGGGTCCTGGGGGGAGCGGGCGGTGGCGCGGAGCCTGGAGCTCCGGGCCGTGAGCGGCCGCGTCCTCCTGTTTGCGGTGCCAGGCAACAGCAGGAGGCCGCCAGCCCCCTTTGGACTGTGTGCTGGCACAGGATCAGAAAGCTCCGCATCCGTGTTCCTGCTGAGCCCCGGTGTCCTGCTGACGGCCTGAGACGTCAACACAGCTGTCCCTTCCCCACAGTGGCCGGTCAGGACCCTCCCCGCCTCCGCCGGGCCTGGCTGTGCCGCGGCCGCCCCGGCCCCACCCCAGCCACCCGTGGTTGGTGTCCACGTCCCGCTCCGCGGAGGGGCGGCTGCTCTCTCTGCTGCGGCCGCCCCCCTGCGCCCGGGGCTGGCGTGTCCCCCCGCCCTGCCCGCACGGCCCGGCGCCTGCTCCTCGGTGCGGGAGGCGGCCGAGGGGGTGCGGTGCTGCATGCGCAGTGAGGCTGCGGGCCTCATTGTCCGCCTGGCGGCCGTGCGTCTCAGCTGCTGCGCGTGGGGCTGGGCTCGGAGCGGGATGGCGGGTGCCTGCCGCCCTGGACCAGGCCTGTGCTCGGGACACGTGGCGCCCGCCCGCTGTCTCCCCGACGCCAACGGGCCCCGGACGCCCGGGTCTGCGTTCGCAGGCAGAGGTGCGTGACCCGCCAGGCCCTGCCTCTCCCAGGCCGAGCCTCCCATCGCGCCTCCGCCGCCCACCTGCCTCTTCTCCCTCCTGCAGTGCCGGGGGATCACCCGAGTCCCCCAAGCCCCCCAGAGGCGCCGGCCTCCCTCCAGCGCCTGGTCCGCGGCTGTGACCAGCTAGCCCCCTGTCCTCACCCCGCCCCCCAACCCGGGTTGTGTTCAGGCTGAAGCAGGAAGTCGCCGCAGGAGTGTCCGTGGGTCCGTGGTGGCCTGGCTCGCTCCTGCCCGCGGGACTCACAGACGCGGCGCTGTAGGCGGGTGTGTCGAATGTCGGTGGCAGCGGATCGTTATTTTAAAGCGATGGTGCAGGTCAGCGTATTGGTAAAGAAGTCGGTCAGCCAGCCTTCCTGTCGGGGTCTCCGCACCCGCCGGGCGGACCACGCACAGACCAGAAACGCTTGGGACAGAGCCTCGCTCTTGCCGCCGTGTGCTCCACAGGGAGGCCTGCACGGCCGCATCCGCACTGACCGTGCGCGGTTTTCCCTGCGACGCCCCATGCGGTGCAGAGCGACAGCTGTTGGCAGGGCGCTTGCACTGTGTTGGGAGCCACGAGTAACCAAGAGACGATGGGAGTGTGTGGGAGGCTGCGCGTAGCTCGCACGCGAACCCTCAGCCATTTTAAACGAGGGACTCGAGCGTCCGTGGATGCTGCTGTCGGTGGGGGTCCTGGAACCCATCCCCCACGGGTGCCGAGGGGCGGCGGGTCGTGCGGCCTCACGCCTTCGCTGCGGTGTTTTGATCATTGCGCCTCAGGCGCTCAGGTCCCCTGCGACCCCGAGTCCGTGGCTGTGGGCCTTGGAGGACGGTTCCCGAGCCGGCGTCGCCAGGCGTCGCCAGGCGTCGCGGCCGCTGAGGGTTCTCGGGCTGAGGCCCCGGGGGCTCCGACAGCAGGCGGGGCCGATGGGGCGCCCTGGCCGGAGGCGGTGGGGGCTTTTCCCGAGGACGCCGGAGGTGCTCCTGGCCGAGGGGCCCAGGCCCTCCACAGGCCGTCCCGCTGTCTGTCCAGGCTGGGCCGCTGTCTGTCGGAAGCTGTGGCCTGGCCTTGGTGAAATGACAAGGTTCTCAGGCCTATTGCTGTCACGCTTCGCCCACTTTAGCAAGAGGGTAAAGGGGTCACGGTGGCAGAATCTGGGGTCCTGTTTGCACACCTGGGTCACAGACCCAGCCGGTGTGAGGGACGCACTTCACGCTGTGCCCTGGGGGCCCCGGTCCTGGCCCAGGGAGTGCGGGAGGAGGCGCACGGACACTCGGAGTAGCTCTTCCTCGCTTTCGCAGGACAAACAGGAAGTGCAGACACCCACGAAATAAGTACTTCAACGACCAGAGTTCCCTGTCCTCGCGTAGTGAGAGGGGGCCCTCTTCACTCCTGGGCGCCGGGGAGAGGCGGCGGAGCCCTCGCCGCCGGCTGCCCGGGGTCCGCGCTGCGCGGGGCGGCAGAGGCTGCGGCAGCCTTCCTGGCCGGGGAGAATCCCAGCGCAGTTACAGTGCACAAACTGTTTACTTTCAAACTAACCTAAATATAGCACATTTGCATGTATTTGTTAACTGTTCTCTGGCATGTACTTGGGTTCACAGAATGAGGAAGACACATTTGTAGAGTTTTTCTTTTTCCCAGTCAGAGCGGCTTGTCGGGGCGCGGGGCCGGGGCGGGGGGGGCGCGGAGGTCGGGCCCGCGCGCGGCAGGGAGCCCTCCGCGCGCCTCATCTTGGACGTCTGCCCCCTGCCCCGCGCAGCCCTTCCTCGGACGCTGCCCAGCGCTGCCCCGGCCGTCGGGCGGCTGGAGTCGCGGGCAGGGGCAGGCGCGGGTTTGCCGCTTGGGGTCCCCTGTGTCCCAGGCCCTGGGCTTCGCGCCCTCTGCTTTGGAGCTTTTTCCCGAGACACTTCTTTGCTTGTCGCTGGCTCCTGGAAGTTTTCGTATTTGGAGACTCTCTTTCTTTCTTTTTTTTTAATTGTAAAAAAGGGCAAAACCTCTCCCACGCCTCCTGTGGGAAAATGCAGAAAACAAATGCCTGACCCGCGACCCCCCCCCGCCCTGCGCCTGCCAGGGGTGGGCGCGCTGGGTGAGCGTGCGCTGATGCAGCCCTGGGGAAGGAAGCAGAGCCCGGCGCCAGGGCGGCTGCGAGCACACGGTCCACCCGCGTCCGGGTGGGCCCGCCCCCCCCCCCCCCAGCCGACTGCGCTCCCTGAGGCCAGCCGCCCACCTTGCATGTGACTGGCACAATGGGATCGGAGTCTACTCTTTTCTTATTTATTTCCTAGTTATATGTACTTTTACATAGTCAAGTCCGTAGTATACTTAGAATGTGGGTTCCTGCGTTTAAAAAACTTAACATCACAACCATATCCTATATCATTAAATTCTCTGTAAAACTTCTTGTTTTTAAAGACTTTTCTGTTCATAGCATATTCGTAAAAGAAAATTAAAACCATGGAAACATGGTGTAATTGTATTGTCTAATTTTTGTACAAGTATTTAGATCTCTACCAGCCTTTTAAGGGACCTACCAGCCTTATGAATGTGACAAAATATAACCGACCCCTTACTGTTTCTGTTTCAGCTGTTCCAGTCTCTCATCACTAAGAACCGGGCTGCCCTGGGTCAGGCACTGTCAGCGTAGACGGGACGGACGTGTTCTCTGTGGACTCAGGGCGCGGGTTTTGAGCGGAGGTGTTTGTTTCCGGTGGCCTCTCTGCAGCAGGGCCTGAGCAGGGTGCCCTGTGAATTGGGGGCGGTGGCGGGAAGCAGGCTCACTTTGACCTCGCCCCGTTCCGTGACCGTGGCGGTGAAGGCCTGCGAGGATCGGCCCCAGGGTGAAGGCGCGGGGTGGGGTCTGCGCTTCTGCGAGGGCAGCACGCGGCTTGGGCCGCCAGCGACCCCGCGGGTCTGGGACCCCAGCCTGCGCCTGCCCCGCCCCCGACACTGGCGTCACGGGCCCTGTGTTTGGGGCCCCTCGCAGCCTGGCCTCACTGGGTAGCAGCGACGTCCCCGAGGGGGGCTGTGCCGGGGGCTGGTGGCTTCCCCGGAGGCCAAAGTATTGGTGGCTGATTGGTCACCTCACCGTTTCCTCTCTGCCACGTTGGGGTGGCTCGCTGTGACAAGGACACCT